AAGGTAAGGCTCTCACCCTTGGCTACACTGCAGCTGTGCTGCAGCTATGTCCATGCCTGGCCATGAACCCTGTTGATCTGGACCTGGACCCTGATCCACGGACTGACGCCCGAGCTTGACCTCAGACTTGTCACTACAGACCTGCCTGGCCGTCTAGACTCTTGGCTGAACCTGGTTACTGTCACAGGACCTGTGCTGCTCACCTCGCTTGGGTACTGTTATTGTCCATGAGGCCACTGCCTCTGCCTGTCTTGTCACCACGCTCTGCTCCCAACTCCCCTTCCCTTTCAGAGAAGTCTACCCTTGCTGCTCCCTGCTAAGAAGGGAAAATGAGCACACAAACAACATGCATATCTGCTGCAGAATCATCACCAAAGGTGACTAACACCAGAGCAGACTTCATTGCCATGACTTCAGAACAGGCATGCTACTCCTCTGAACTCCCCCCAGAAAACTAGCTGCAAAGTTTTTCCGTTTGGTTCACTCTACCTCAGAGAAGTTTGGAAGAAAGAGGAGAAAATGTTCCTAAAGAAATATCCATTTTTCTATCCTTTTTAGGTCTTGTCTCAATTTTTATTAGAGATTACTTCTTATGCTGTGTAAAAATCAACACTCGTAGCTCAAGAGAATTCAAAGAGTGAGAAGGAGTATTTACTACAGCAGCAGATCCACACTTCAGCACCTTCACTACACTCAACATTATTTATCTTTCATTGAAATTTCTGGAAGCCATTGAGTTGTGTACCAGACTTTTGCAAACGGAGGAAAATATGACCTGGAGGTATAAGGGTCTCTTATTTCATTGAATTAATCTGAAAGGTGAGGAAAGCAAATTTCAGACCTGTGAACCAACAGGATCTCCTCCTCGCTTCCTTCTCTGGCAGGCACAGGGACACATCTTTCCACAAGATGGTAACGTTTAAGCTGCTCGTAAGAGGATGACAGTCTTTCTGGCACTTCAATATCACAAATTGGACTAAAAATAAGCAATAATCACATTACTATAATACCAAATCAGCATGGCTTACAAATATACTTCATAATGCCTAGGTTTAAGCTTCCCATTGTAAGAAGATTTGTTGTCCTCATAAAAAGATGTAAGAGTAAATACATCTTTAAGCACTCATCAGTTTGGAATTGAGCCAAAAAAGATAGGTTATAAAATACATAAGTTAAAAAAAAAAACATATATGGTTCTTAAATAAAAAAGAAACACAATAGCACCGTTTTCTACTTCCTTTCTCACTACCGAAACTACGGAGCAATACTGAAATGAAAAGCGGTAGGATAAGACAAAGGTTAACAGAGGAAAAGTGGGTTTGGGAGAGGAGACAAAAGTGAACTTCTATTTTGAGCCTAGCATCAAAGGTATTGGTTTAATTTAGATAAATTTAAGAAAGCATTGGCATTTATCCATGTCTAATCCGGGCAACACCGAATTTACCACTAAACTACTGGAAAAAGGGTTTCAGTTGGCATATCTGCATATTTTTCCCAAGGTCCCACTGTTGCTACATTTCAGCTTTATAAGCAATTTAATTAGTTTAAAGTACTTTTTTTTCAGAGGATTACTCAGATGCCTATAATTAAACACTTCTTATTAAGGCCTACTGGACTGAAGGCCAACAGCCTGACAAATGCAGCTTCAGATTCTCATTATGGCATCCGGGTACAAGTTGGCAATAAAGTTTTTCTACAAAAGGAAAGACTTTCTATTTATGAAGAAAGTGAAACTATGACTAGGTATTTCATTTAAACTGAGGTAAAATTGCATTTACACGACACCTCTCTTAGAAGCCCTAATAATAATCCATTCATAAGAAGGACAAGACGTTATTGACTTACTCCTTCCACAGTAGCTTATGACTGGTCATTTCCTCATCATAAATCAATGCTGTCCCTGAAGCCATTGCTATAGACAAAACAAGACAAAAATCCCAAGACACATATTTCAGGCAAGCAGCAAACGTATACTAAAACCTTATTATATTACTTAGTGAGAAGATAACATATGTACATCCTGCACCTGCTTGTATGACGGTTTCGCACTTCCGGCTTTGCAATTACAAAATGAAATCAAAGAAAACCGTTTAGGAGGAACTCTGGCAGGACTGATCAGCGAGGAAGCAGCGCAGAACTCATGGCGCTGACCTTCTGTAGCTGGATTCGCACGGGCAGAATCCCTGCCCATCTGAATTCTTCAAAATCAGTAAACCAAAACCCCCTGCAAGGCCCCGCGGCCCGTGCTACGGGGCGCAGGAGCGCTGCCGAGGCTGCGAGCGCAGGCCTGGGCACTGCTGCTTGTCTCGGCTCTGACAGACACCTACTTACCTGTCAGGGCTGACGTGACATCGGGTTATTTGTGAAAATCTGCATTACAAAACCACACAATATAAAAAATACGATTGCATATGCCAGAGATACCACAGTTACAGCGACCGTGTCGCGTTTACAACTGGTTATACGTCTTTTAAAAGAAGACACAAAAGAGATGTATATTTAAGGGAAAAAAAAAGAACTTTTTTAAAAAAACTGAAGTGCCCAATTAACCGCTGAGGCGCCGCGTTGAAGTCGAGGAGCACACCTGGGCCCCCTCTGCTCCTTTGCCTCA